ACGCCCTTTAAATAATAAAATAATATCAGATAAATTCCGCTCAGTTATTTTATTTTTTGTCGGAATCAATCCACAATGCAGTATGCTCCAACTAATTTAAATAACTCGATAAAGAAAAATACTATGAGCATAACTTTTGCTAGATTTTAGAAACAATATGGCTAAATTTTTGATCCAAGTAACATGGCACACACATATGTAGAATTGTCGCCTCGCTGTTTTTGCGGATGTAGATATTCATGACGTATTTTAAATAAGAGCTTGGAAATTTATTATCTTGTTATATGAATTAGTATAGCGGCATTCGGAACTAATCGCATCATTGCGGTTCTCAGGAGTAACTTTTCACGGAGTTGATCAGTAGCTTCCTTCGGGCTTTTGTCAACTTCTACATTGTTGTATAGGGAGAAGAGATGCAAGTGTTAGGGATAAAGACTGATCACTCTAGTATATAAAAGTTCGATTCCCACGTTATTAAATTGTCACGCGTTATGGATGTGACTCCAAGCTGGATTCCTTGAGACGATAATAAGCACACAATGTTGAATGCCGAATTGTTGTATATTATTGAAAAGATGCACGATCCAAATTTCAAATACAGATAAAATTGTACACACTTAAGTCTAAAACAGTAAGATTACAAGTGAACCAAAAAGCACGATATTATGCGGTCCTCTCGGCAAACCGGAAACTATACGTCATCAAAATGGTCGATACGAGAAAGGGAATACATGGAGCGAATGCATTATCGCTGCTGGGAAAAATAATGTGGCCTATTATGTGAAATGTTACATGCTATTAATATGAAAGGGTTAAATCCATTATAATCCATAGTTACACAATGCACATTCGCTACAGTTGCTTTTCATATTTTGAGCATATACTTCAATTTCGTCTGTTAAAAGACAATGAGTAATGAATGTTCATTGCACCGAACGAAGTATATAGTCAAGGGTATCATTTCAATACGAAATCGTTCTCCATGACAAGTCAATACGGATAATCCCATATAGGATTGATTGAAACTTTGTGAAATAGAAAGTAATATTTGAAAAAATAGTCATATGATATCGAAATTGGTTTGGTGATGGCACAAAAAAGTTTCGATGGCATTCAATGATAAATAAGCGTTTTTCAAATTTAGCAATACAAACAGAAATGGGAAATTAAATGATAAATGAAATAGTTTAAATTAAACAAATGCTAGTTTAAACTACGAGGTGTATTTGGGAACCGCTGGGTTACACCATTCCCCACATCATAAATATTATACAAAACATGAACCCGAATTCGCAGATATAATGGTACACATACTTCTGGAGCGCCTAAAATTGACCTTATCTGACAAAGCTGAAAACTCGGTTTAATGATTTAGTTGGTCGTAGTAATGTTGTTGCAAAAAGCACAAGATTGGTTTATTCTCTTAATACTTCATATAAAGTACTGTAAGAAAAGGTGAAAACTAATGAATGGAACGACCCCTTTCTTCAGGAGTGAATTCAAATCCAACAAAGTTTCCGTTCATGCTTACGGAGATGAGGTAGTTTTAACGTTTGTTTTATCGAAATCTTTATTTTGTCTATTTGATATTCTAGAAAACAGAGCTTCATACAGCACTGAACAACACGATATGAGTAGAAAATTAAACACATTTATGAGCTTTGTACTTTTCATCATATATAAGACTTTCGGAATTTTGAAAAAATGCTCTTGTTTTTATTACTGTACGTTGTTTCATTAAGAGGGCAAAACAATGCAACGTCTCTTTGACGACATCATGGATCTGAACAACGGTAAGCAACTCAACTTTTATCGAGGCAGACACCAATTGAAATTTTGTGTGTTTATAGACATGATTTACCGCTCATAGTAGCATTAACTATACATTCTTCCTTGGATTTATGTATTTATCGTAATTCTATCTATAAGAATTCATTTATGAAAATATGTTTATCACATTGCATGAAAATTGCGTAGCAGACAAAAGTAGGCATATGATCTTTCTAATGACAATTTACGAACTTCGAGATGTGTTCAATTTCCCTTCCGGATTGCGATCTCAACTATAAGCATATATGCCTAATCGCAAACGTTCACTTCACAGTCGTTTCCAGGTGGTTACGTTTGATACGTTTGACAATCTCTCTGTACTAACGCTTTTTTGGCAATCTGTACAATCTGACAAATTTTGGAATTATGTTATTCCGTTTACTTGATCTTTGCCGGTAAATTATTCCCATATATCAGGGGTGACCAACACGTCGATCGCAACGTCTCGAATAGTCGATCGCGTCTGATTTTAAGTAAATTTAATGACATTCCCCCCAAAAATTCTTGAACAAGTTCCTTGCAGCCTGTTGTATGTTTTAAAAAATAATGATGTACTGTACGTACTACAAATACGATATAGGTTACACATACAGTATTTGAGTCTAGGCAAGCCTCATAGATCATATTATTACATAACAAATGAAATTTTTG